ATTGGAGATGATATTGTTGCAGCAGCCTCTCATTCTCAGTTCAATGCAATGAGCTCTAGCAGTTATGAAGAAGGTTATTGATTCCAAGATGCACAGTCTCACAACCCCAAATATCTTCTGCTATTTGCTGCAAACAATTTGGTGCTGCCTTGTGTTAAATCATACAAATGCTTCATGTTTAATCTGTTTCTCTAAGATGGATTTGTCAGTGCATAGGAAGTGACATGCTTTAAGACATGTCAAATAGTTCTTCAAACAAGTCGGGAGTGCTAGTTGCAAAATATGTGCTCATGACAAATCAAACAAGACATCATAATTGATGAATAACTAAGATCAGAACAGCAGAAAATGTCTTGAAACTGAACTCAACCAAATACAAAATCATCCTTCTGAGACAACTCAGAAAATGTGGATTAGGTGACCAAGAACGTCTATGATGAACAGTAGAGTACGGTAGCAAGACTTGCTGTTTGGCTTATTTCTTCTTCCCAGCCTTAGCAGCATCTCCAGCCTTTGTCTGGACATCAAGAATGAAGAGTAAGCATCTCCAATTAAGCCAACGCATGGTGTGAATTTACAAGAACTTAAAAGCCAAAGAACACTGCAGAAAAATTGCAGCCTGGACCAGAAACTGAAACTGTAAAGGTTGTTCCTTGGTGATTTGCTATACCTAGAAAGGCCTACTATTTGTCCATACAGAAAGCGCTTTTACAGTACTACTGATGTAGATTGTAAGATATCGAGAAGATCAGACAGCTTACCTTCTTAACACCACGGACTTTCTTCGCCCTGTTCTTCCTTTCCTTCATCTGTTTCCTTGATTTCTCTACTTTTGTTGCAAGTCCATTCTGTCAAAACACCATATATGTAGATCAGGATTAGCTTCAAATATGCCAAAAAAAAAAGCAGTGGTTCATGACTAGTAACATTTATTCATGAAAACATTCGAAGGTAAAAACAAAAGATAGATATACATGTAGACATCCAGGGAATTATGCATGCAGATAATAATGTCTCAGCTAAGACAATATATCCCCCCCCATCCATTCCTCTTGGCTCATTCTGGATTGTAGATCTTTAAAAAAAGTTAGATTGCTCAGACGCATTTTTAGTTTAATATAAGAAGAAACTTAGAATTTTAATTATTGTAACAATGTAAAAATATAACACTTTTTGTTTCGTCAAATATAATTAGACAGCATACCAGACGTCCAAATTTACCCAAAAGAAACTGACATTCACATGTAATTCAGCAACAGCAGAAAAAATAAGCAGAGTCAAAACAAAGCACATAAATAAGGCCAATCTGCATTAAGTATATATATCTGAAAGTTGCATCATATGCAGTTAAAAAAATTGAAAAAAAGGACATAACACAGCCATATCATATCCACAGCCTAATCATGGAACTACAAAAACGATAAAATGTGCAAGAATTTTTTATGGAATACAATGGATATTAAACAAAATCATAAATTAAAAGGCACAAAACTGTTAACAAGTATCAGTCTACAGGCTAGCATTGCATCAAATAATCTCTGAATTTTTCATGTGATAGCTCCTACAACCTGTAATAGGAGACAGGAGGATGGCAAAACATATTAATCCACCTCAAAATTTTGGGCACCGCAGATTACAGATAGCAATTCACTTTTCAGTATGCCACTTTGGCAGCACAAGTATTACAAACAATGGCCAACAAGCAACTTTGAATATAAAATAAAAAAAGAAGATAACAAAGGTCCCCAAGATGGCAATTTCTTTATGGTGTTCTTTCATGATATCATCAACTAAATGGAGATTATGCCAAGCATTGCAATTAGAAGAAATGCTTTGTAGTATTGTCAAGCAATACAAGAAAAGGCACGCAGGTAAAGAAACAATAAAATCAAACAGCAGTCTGTGAGCGAAATAAAAACAGGAATAAGAAATAAGGGATTAAAGAAAAGAAACAGACAGCAATGGACATATTTTGTTATAAATTTCAAGAATAACTGTTGCTCTATCACCTTTACTTTCTACATACATTGCCCTCTAAAAAAAGTCCATCCAAGCAACACAGAACATCTCATTTGATGGAAAATATGGCACAACATTACCCCTACATCTTCCAAAATCCACACCACGACCAGTCTTGCAACATCAGGCATCCTCTTAAAAATCCGATTTGTTACTAGAATATTAAAGACTAATCTACCAAAACAGTTCAGGAGACGAAAGACTCAATCTAATGAAAAGAGGGACCAGATCAAGCATTACCCATAAACAGGCTATTCAATACGCAACCAATATCTAAATAACCAAAAAGCAACTAAACTTCTGGGCTCGCGAAACTAAAATATGGAAGCATACCCTAATAAGCCGATACTTGGGCTCATACTTCTTGGCGTTCTCTACGGTGTCGTAGATCAAACCGAATCCCGTCGACTTCCCTCCTCCAAAGTGCGTCCGGAACTTGAACACAAAGATCGTGTTGGTATCGTTCACCTCATACAGCTTCGCCAACTTCTCCTTCAATTCCGCCTGCACCATCACCGACCACAGAGCAAGCAAACTCGCTTCAGAAAATAGCAACGTGCAACCCTAAACGTGACGCATCACGTGGAAAGTCGCCCACCTTGGAGACATTTGCTCTCCCAGGATGAAGAACGTCGATGACCTGAAAGCAACCAATGAAGACAAGAAAGCGTCATCAAAATAGGATCTTTGCCCGGCAATCCAAGGAAAACAGAGGGTCAAGACTGCGGAACCGACGAATTGCTTCCTGGAAAGGAGGCGATTGGTCATGAATTTCCGGGTTCGAATAGTAACAGCCTTCGTATCTGCCATTTTCTCCTCCTAATGCAGCGAGCAGCGAGCAGCGAGTACCGAGTAGCGAGCCGCGATGCAGCGGAAGAAGGAGACGCAACCGAGCCGTTTCCCAAACCCAAACCCTAATCTCGGCAATGCCGCTTATATACACGGCCTTTGGTGCATACCGATCTCAATGGGCTCATACCAGCGAATATAGCCCAATACAATAACATTGGCCCACATAATTGGATCACAAATTGGGTCATATAATTGGGCCACATAATGGCCACAACATATGCTCGGTCGCATGGATAAAATTATATATATATATATATATATATATATATATATATATATATATATATATATATATATATATATATATATATATATATATATATATATATATATATATATATATACATACATATATATATACATACATATATATATACATACATATATATATACATACATATATATATATATATTCTTCATGATATTATATATTGTAATATAATCATTGCTTTACCTGATGCGGATTCAACCTGTCTTGGCCTCGTGCAACACACGAATGATTTCAGGATGTGAATTTACATTTAGATCATTATTTTGATGAAAACTATGGTACCTCATGTCCACCGATTGATTTTTTTGATTGGATATACTTGGTACAGAAAATAGTGGATATAACACTTAAATGTAAAGAGACTTTGGTTTCAATTAGCGTCCACTTTCATGACCATCAGCATCAAAAGTTAAGATTTTGATTGATGATCCTATAAAATTATATCGAAGGTGTATATGATATGATAAAGTTTCTTTCATTTTTAAGTTAGTAATGGATTCTAAGAATTCGAGAGATATACAAAAGTTAAATAATATTATCGAGACTTTTAAGGCAAAGTCTCTTCGATGGTTAAGTGGGTTTGAAGGATTTGAAATATAAACAAATAGCATGTATTATGTCCTAATTTAAATAATAATATAGTAAAAAATGAACTCATTCATTGGGTAATTTGAAGAGTATGTTATAAGTTGAGGATTGAATATTTGATGATGGTATTATAAGCGGATGGAACGTCTATCATTAGAAATCTTGACTTTATCATTAATCCATCTCAAAGAGTTGATCCCTAACTTTAAAATGTAACTCAATTATGGAATATACATCTAATCATTTTAGTAGATCAAGTTCTTGATTAAGAGTATGGTGCGTAGATTACACATTATGGAGAACCTTTTATAACATTTCTTTGGATTCATTGTTGATTCTTGGTATTGGCTTTGGGGGATTGAGCTTATTGGACAAATTGGAATAAAAATGGATAATAGTATGTATAATTTTTATGAGAACTTAAACTTACTAAGTTAGGCTTCAGTAGGGATGACTAGTGTAGCATTAGCTACTGGTGAATTCAAAATAGACTTATTGAATAAGCATATAAAAGCTAAGGGTTTGGAAAGAGAAAAATCTTTCCTGGCACTCCCATCCAATATTAGATTTTTCTTCACTTTATGATAAAATCAAAATAATATTATATTTTAAAATAATTTTTTTTGATAAAAATATGGAGCAAATATATATGTGGTGATAAATCATGCATGTCGTGTATCATAAATTAATCATAAGAGTTGATTGGGATCTAGTGAGGAAATGTTACATCTATCAAACTTGCTTGTTGAATGGCATCAATATGCAAATAAATACATGATTGTTGATTATGAGAGGTGGAAAAAGAAAACTTAAATGCATGAGAGAGACCTTTTCCTAATAATACAACTCTTCCAGTGTTCCCACCTTAGTTTCCAAACCAGTCCTTAGCAAGGTCACTGTCTGCCCTAGCCATTACACCACCTACACAAATACCAAAAAGCAATGACAACCATGCAATCAATTTGGATCCAAGTTTTCAAAATGATTTAGTTGTCAGCTATGCATCTCTCTCAAATACCAAAAAGCAATGCAGCAGGCATTCAAAGAGAAGCCTTTCACTCCTCATAATTGCTATAGGAAAGAGCCATCCATGGATGCATTGCTTAAGTAAGAAGCATGCTTAGCTGGTCCTCAGTGAGTGATGTTGATGGAATCAATGTCCTTCTGGTTGCGACAAGATGCATCAACACATGAAAAAGGACATCATTTTTCAGTGTTTCTTCCCTCTTGATGCTTATTGAATTATTGCTTGCTTCTTTGGGTTTTGTTGTGCTTTAGTTATGCCATTCTCTTTGAAAGCATTCCTCTTATACACCTTATTGTGGAGTTTCATGACATAACTGGACAAGATTCTTAGATTTTAGAGTCAGAAACTTAGAAAACATGTTGATGTTTGAATAAGAGTTTGTGCCTTCTGTTTTCTTTGATGACAACTAGAGTTCATATATAGTTTGGTTGTGCACCAATATGATTTGTTGACCTAAAGAATTGAGTCCTAAAACAATTTAAGACTTGTTCTATCAAGTCCTGAAAAATGGCAACTGAAATCTAAGATCCTCATGATTAACATTCAACTAAGTTGTATCAAGTCCTGAAAGCAATCATGAATTGTTGTTCTGGAAAGTTCCAAATATTTCACTCTGATCCTGTGGAGGGCAATGAGCAAAAGTTCATAAAGGATTTGGTGAGTACAATGTTTTTCTTTTAGCTTTTTGTTGTAAGGTTCAGAAACATGAAACATCTGAAAAGGAGCAGTCAATTGATATCCAGCATAAGTCCATCATAAGATCAACTCTGCAAGTACATTAGCAAGTGGCTAAGAGGTGAAGTGCTTTTATTATTTGATTGTAAGTGTCAAATCGGGAAATTTATGTTTATCAAAGATTTCAAGATCACAAAAAAATTATGTAGATCAAACTGCCCTTTTAGATCTAAAAGGTGTGCAGACTGCAGAGTATAATCCAATAAGGTGTAATCCTACAGGGGATTTTGGATGCTCTCTGTGAAATCATGAAGGTTTTCGGAACATCATCAGGAGATCCTTTCAAGTCAAAGAGACAGAGTAGTAGTGCAGAGTGTAATCTGCATTAGGTGTAAACCTGCATTCCGATGTCAGACTTCAGAGCTCAAAAGAAATCCATAGTCGAAGTATAGATTAAAGGAGAGTCTCTTCTATGTATATGATGCCTCGAAAAGGGAAAGAGAGAAACGAGTATGGGAAAAGAGCTTGACCAATGCTCAGATCCACTAACGTCCAGAGTTACAATCCCATTTACCGCTCTACACTCGACTCCTTTCCCTACAGAAATCAATGGTGGTGCTAAAAGAAAAGACGATGTGAGCAACACGGACTCACATTCTGTTCTGTTCTACGTGGGAGGCTTCAGAGAGGACTATATATGAAGAAGAACATGTCATGCTCGTCCCATCAATGGTTCATGGCGGTGGTGACTGTATTCTGGCGTCACTGGAATCCTCTGCTGAAGACGAAGCTGCTTGTAGAACCTCCTGATGAACTCCTCTGCCTCCTGGTCGATGTGCTGGTAGGCTGCTTCCTCATCTTCCGTCAGTGGAAATGGTGAGTCTGTAATCCTCAGTTGTCGCGCGCCCGCCGGTGATGGAGACGGCACGACCGACTCGGCATCAGATATCTCGAAGTCCAGTGTCTCAAATGCAGTCGCCACCGCCGCAGCGTCGTAGTCGTAGTCGTAGCGGCGGTGGCGGTTCCTTCGCCTGATGGCATGGAGGGAAGGGTACGAAGGAGTGCTGCTGCAGCTGAACTCCACCTCCCGGGGGCTGTAGAAGGCGCGGTCTGGATCCATGGACCGGCAGGAAAAGCCCGAGTACATGGCAGCGACGCCATGGAGGTGGCCGTGGTGGTGGAAGGTGACTAGGTGACCGAGGGCTTTACCGGCGTTCTTGCCACGCTTGAGGAGGAGATGGAGATCCACCATGAGCTTGTGCATGGAGAGGTTCTTTCTGTGCATGTAGAACACAACCCTCACAATGTGCCACAGCCTCTTGGCTGCACTCGACGACTCCATTTGGAAGAATGAGAGTCTATATGTAGAGAGAGAGAGAGAGAGAGAGAGAGAGAGGAAACTCTTGGGTTTGAGAGAGAGGGGAGGAGGAGGGGAAGGGTATTTAAAGATGGAAAAAAACCTTTTAAGGAAGAAGAAAAAAGAATATGAATATATATATATTCCTTCCAAAGTAAGATTAAGTTTCTTAGGGTATTGTTTTTGCAATTTTAAAGAACTATTCCGAGGGTAATTAGCAACTTTAATGGGGAAATGAAGGACTTCATCGAAGTTAGAGACAAGGAGGAGAAGGAAGAGAAGCCATTTGGCCAACTTGAGAAGGTGGATGTGTACACCACAAAATCTGTGTCGAAGAACCAAACAAGAGTGGCTCAATCACTCTCAGTACGCTTTTGATGGAATCCATCCATCGAGTCAATGAAGGATTTAATGTAGATGGTGATTTCTTACAACTTATGTACCCATCCTTGTATTCAAATGATCATTTGTTTCATGTGTAGTCCGTCAAATGATTGATTGAGTCTTATAACCTAACTTTTTTAAAAAATATGTATTGTATTACACTCATCGATAATAGTTAAAAATATTAGACGTATATTATTATTTTAATTTCTCCAATGGGACGAATAAAATAGAGAAATTACATATTAAATGCACCGATCTTCAATTATTCAAAGATCAAGTGATAAAATTATATTATATATATATATATATGTACTAAGTAATATAAAGTAATAAATGCTAAAAATATAATAAGTTAAAAGACTATTTTTTAAATCACACGTATCATCACTCACGTGATTGACTTGTAGGGCATATATAACTAACACAATTATTTAAAGATCATATGTGTTTTTCAATCATAAGAACAAAAAATTATCCATCATATTTTTTGTGACTAATTTGATTATCATAGTTTTTCCTCATCATCATAGTTTTTGTGACTAATTTGATCTCAAAATGCACCTGTCATCCATCCTTCAATTTGCCATGGTGTTGGAAGGAGTCCATAATCTTCATCCAAGCCTTTCAGGAACAAAAGATAAACGAAATGAACATCTCAAAGATCAAAATACTTCAGAAAGAGGAACTATAAGAAAATGGTCATTTCAGCTCTGCTGCATTGTCTCTCATGGATTGAGATGTGATTGGAGTTTCACCAGTTTGATAAAGTTCAAGAATTTTTTTGTCTTTGTGATCGCAATCTATGCCAAACTGCTTAATTCATCATGTAATCCTATCTAAAATTAATGTTCTGCCTGTGTTTCAGAAGAATCTACTACTACTGTCAAACTTTCAACAGTTTCAGCTGACAAAGAATCGAGGCCTAAGAACTGTATCTTCTCTTTGTTTCAACGATGAGCTCAAAAGAGAGTTGAGACTTGTTTGCTGTATATATATCCAACCTCACCAACTTCTACTAATTCTTAGTTCCACTCTTCTGCAGACTCGAGAAGCAGGCCATGCTGTATTACCTCATTGGCTCATATGGTGTATTAACATGTAAAACATACAGTCTAAATGAACTTTTGAAGGATGCAGCTTCATGGATGGATTGAGAAATGGACATAAAGAATTGATGCTAGAGAGTGAGGTCACCATGCTCCCCAGACTTCCAGACATATAGGCAAAATCCACCTGGATCTCGATTGTTGGGTGACATATAAACCTTGATTATTTGTAGCTCATGATACTTGCTCTCCAACAGGAGCGAGATTTAGGCCATATTCAAACATATATATGGGAGTGTTCAGTGTTTGGTCTCAGCATGAAATGCTGTGCTTTTATCATGCATGACTCCTCTTTCTTCCTTCCATTTTACTTGCCTTGAAGCGGCAATTAAGTGTGTCTAGAGCTGTGGCTGTGGCAGGATCTCAGCAGAACCTCTTTCGGATGTCATCACAGCCTCAGGCTTGCATCGATAACACTGTGAATAAAGTGTTTGTGCATGACAGAGCATGTGATCCTTCGTGTGTCTTCAACCTCATCTTTATCTCCTGGTAGAAGGACTGCAACAAAACAAGTGAAGCCTTATCTCTCTGCACCCATTACTCGTAACCCCACCATCAATTCCCAAGTGATCCAGAACTCCATAGAATGTCCCCCTGATACCTTCCGACCATAGAGGAAAAGGTTCGTCCTCTCAAACTCCTTCTGTGTTCTATTGGCCCTTCTCTCCGCATGCATCGGCGTTCTCGTGAATGCCATGTAACATTCATGTACCGATCCATGGCCCGGAGGAAACCATGTCACCACGCAAACTACTGCGTCCGTGCATACATGGCTCTGGTTGATCTACACGTGAAACCTTTTGCATCAAGATTTCGACCCAAGTGTCTGTAATTTATTGCCAAGTTGAAAGCGTCTTGTTCCATCAGTAAGTTTCTAGCATCAATACAGTTATCCGTTCATCTCATGACGTTTCTTTGTTAATCCTTCCTGACCAGCAAATGCTTTATCATATGATAGATCACCATGATGCTGCGGTTTAACTCCATATGAAAGATTGAGGTCAGTAATGATGGGATCTCCATAGCCATGCAATGAAAAGGTGCACCAGTTGCACGAGAAATCTAGGGCCTTCAGGTTTTGCTCTCAGTGACTGCTATAAAAAGGGTTGTAGGTTTGAGTTAGTAACTCACTTTGATGCCAAAGCTGATCTCAGGCTTCATTTCTGATCTCCACATTTGTTTTTGAAGCTTCGTTACTGTCTTGAGTAGTAGTGCTGATATATCTCGTTTGGCTCAACTCATTCACAGACCGCCATGGCAACCAATGGAGAAACGCTCATCGCTCCCTGCTCCAAGAACAGCTTCCACCACCACCAAAGGCCTCGGCGGATCTCCATGGAGGGCCTGCAGAGGGCGATATCCGACCTCTCCTTCCAGCTGAGCAGAGAGGGCGTGGAAACGACGCTCCCACCCGTCTCCGAGGTGGAGGACGCCCAGTGCGAGTGCTGCGGCATGTCGGAGGAGTGCACGCCGGGGTACATCCGCCGCGTGCGGGAGAGGTTCGCGGGGAAGTGGATATGCGGCCTGTGCTCTGAGGCGGTGAAGGAAGAGGTGGCGAAGAATGGTGGGAAGGAGGAGGAGGCGCTCGAAGCGCACATGAGCATGTGCGCAAGGTTCACCAGGCTCGGGAGGACGCACCCGGTGCTCTTCCAGGCCGACGCCGTGAGAGAGATCTTGAGGAAGTCCTCGAGAGGGGCGAGGGGGCAGTCCACCGGCCATGGCGACAGGGACATCGCCAAGAAAGGCAGCATCGCAAGGAGCTCAAGCTGCATTGCAGCCATTACCAAGGAGATCAACAAGCGCAGAGCAGCCAACTGAGCTCTGCATGGACTCGACGTAGGGTTTATTTATGGGTCACTCTCCTCCTTCCCTCAAACTATGATTGATGAGTTGAGTGTTTTAGTTGGATGGCCAATCCATGTTCCAAGCTCAAGGGTTTTTTCTTCTTTTGTCGGAAGGTTCACCTTCACTGACTTTGACCAATTTCACTGAAGTGGTGGTGATCTCTCCTAATATTGTTTGTACCCTTGAAACATGGCCACTTTTTCTTCTCTCCATGAAGAATGGTTTGAGTTTAAGATGGCTGTACATTGGGAGTCGCTAACCTGCAATTCTAACCTTTGTAAGCCCACTTTGAAGACATGTTCTTCTTCCTTCGAGTCCATGCAAGCCAAGGGGTAGTAATCCAACTAGATATGGTCTTAAGTTTGTACTCCTCTCATAGTGAGATGGATGTAAATCCTAGTGTTGGCAAGACGTAATGAGAATAAATATGACTTATTGAATCCTGTTTCTGTCCATTCAATTATATATTTATTTATCTTTTTCTTACAAAGGTAATTGGATCTTTGAAGATTTACTGTGAAGTTTTTATAGCTAATTCTTGTTTCTCTTCCCCTCCTCCCTGCCTTTGATGAGATCGTATAATTGTTTCGTAAAGATCAAACATGAGTCAATTCTCAGGCTTTCTTGACTTTTGTACAGGATACATTGAACCCAATCATGAGTAGGCCAGCTTGGATGGTGATATAATAATAATAATAATATAAATAAATAAATAAATAAACATAAAAACAAAATGATTTGAACTCGCAATAAAATTATATTTTTGGCAGCGCCTATATATATATATATATATATATATATATGACGTAATGGGAACGGCGTTGCTTTCTCCACCGTTGGATCTGTTAAGCGCTGATGAGGTGGCCCCACCTACGAGACCAACCTCCTCATCAAATCTCCCTCGCCGTCTCTGCTCCACCGAAACCCTAAACCCCCAACCGCACCAAGTATCGCCACCTTCCTCCTATTGATCCCGCCGACTCCCTCCGTTCTTTCTCTGCCCCTCGTCTTTGATTCCTTCCTCGCGTTCTCTGTGCCGCCGTCGAGCTGCCGTCGCCGTGTAATATCATCCAAACTCCCAAAGGTTCGCCTGTGTCTCCCGTTTTCTTTAGGTTCGCGTTGGTAGTTGTTTTCTTGTTTCTCTCTATTAATTCGAGATCCGTCGTGGATGCTCCGGTCTTTGCGCGATTTCTGGTCAAAATTTTCCTTGAAATTGCCGGCGAGCAGGCAACTTGAGGAACTTCGCGGAGCAGGGATGACCGGATCAGCAATTTGGTTGCTTCTGCTGGGAAGCTAATGTTGGTCGAATTTTTTTACGTGGTTGTAAGGGGGCCACAACAGTTATCTTTAGTCTTCGGTGGCCGTTCAAGATTCGATTCTTTGAGTACTTTTGGCTGTCGTTGAGCTGATTGCGTCTTCCAATCATGTTTGTGATCATTGGATGAATCAAGAATGACATATGTTGGAATCATTATATCTTCCGACATAATTGCCAATAACTTGGGTTGCTGTCTTGCGAATTGAGGTTGATTAACCATATTAGAAATTGTTTATTTACTGCTAGTGACTGATCTTGATTGTATGATGAGTCGATTTTTCTAGATGCTTGGTCATGAGTGGCAAGATTTTTGTAAAATATGACAGTTATGTGGTTGAATGTATTGGGTTCTTGTTGTTGTAACAGCGATACACTGGTATTAAGAGGGGGAAGGCGGAAGTTGATATGGACAGTATATGCCCCATAAGTTTTGGAGAGCTATAATAACTATTTAAAGGCATAATGACAAATACATGCTTCATATGGCATTCTAAGATATAATTAAAGGTTTCTTTTATCACTGTTGCTGCCATTTGTTTAAAAATTAAGTCCTTGGTCTATGATATTCTTTAGGATGCTCTTGCACTGACAAATATGAGACTTCTATATTTGCCATTTAATGGATTGTGATGTAGGGTACAATATGTCACTTTGTGTTGTTCATCTGGAAATGGCAAACATAAAGCACTTGCATTTCTTAAGAGTTTCTAGCACTCTAATGAAGTAGTGCCTTTTTCAGTTGGGTGATATTGATTATTTACGTTACTTCATCTTTTTCTAGTCACAATTTTGTTTTAGGCACCAAAAGAAATTATCCAAGGACGTCCGTCTGATCACTACAGCCATATCATCTGAGCATCCTCTTCAACTTTAAATGATCAATTGTAGGTCTAAGCTGTCTGGTCTTGGAATAGTATAATTGGTTTCATGCATTTATTTCTGTGTTGTATGAGATGATTTATAGATCCTTAGTCCATTTTTACATGGATATCTAAATTCATAAAATAGTGATATCTAAATGCATAAAATGGTGACTACCCTGATTCTTAGATGGCTTAGTGCATCTACGTGTTTGTAGCTTTCAGTTTTGTTTATTGTTCTGTTCGTTAATGTATCATACAGGGTAGATTTGGTTATGAAGTTTGGTATTTGGTGATCTTGTACAACGTGAAGCAATTTTTTTCCAAATGGCTACCATTGTTGAATCAGCAAATTCAAACATTGACCGAGCAGAAGAAATTAAGCTTTCAGCTAATGAAGCATTCAAAGGTAAATGGGAATCTTTCATTTTGCTTTTTTTTTATCTGTATTCTTCTTTTGAATCTCACATTTGGTTATCGTAATTTCTGTAGCATGTGCATGAATGGGTTTCCAACTTTTTCCAAACACTTAGCATCCAAAGCTTTCCCAATAACAGGGAAAGTTTGTATTTAGTTCATGTGCAAAGTTAGAGCAGCTCATATACTTCACCTGGGTATTTGTGCAAATTTTGTTGTGTTAAAATTCAAAATTTGCATGAAGATCTGAGCAGTTTATGAATTCCTCCCTTTTGAAGCAATAGAAAAGGAATTCAAAGAAACACTTAATGTTGACATGTTTTTCTTACTGATTTTAAGCACTAGAACTTTTCAGGTGAATGCTACCAATGGGCACATTTTTTTTTTTTCTGATTTTTTGATTCAAAAGAGCAGATCGTATTTGATATTCTTTTATGCTCATGCAATCTTTTGCTCTCTAAGAGTTCTTTGCACGTGGGCATGAATAACTATTATGACGACACTAGAATCTGAATTTTTTCATGTGAGTTATGTTGTTATATGTTAAATTGTAGCATATGATTGTTATGTTAATTATGGTGTTATATTAATCTATTGGATCCTATAGAATAAAGTGATGGTCTATTTGGGACTGTTATTTTTTCCTGTGGTTTATATTACCACCTTCCTCATGTCTTCTTACTTGGAGATCGTGGCACCAGCTAGATTTTATTGAACAGGCATCATCTTCAATACATGACACACATGTGATGCATTATAGCCTCTGATATGTTGACCTTATATATAGTGATACTTCATTATGTAGAAGTTTTGTCATCCTTGTGTCAAAATCTGAGGATCATTTTGGTGCTTACGAACAAGAGGAAATCAGTACTAATTCGAAGATTGGAATTTATACGAGTTTTATTTTCAAAAAAGTTGAGCCATTCTAAATTTTTTGTGTATGGTTCATGTTTAGAAGTTTAGCGAGTCCCTAATATGGTGTATGAAGGTTTAGATGCATCTTTAGTAGTTTTAAAGCATTACTAATGCATCTTTTGTATTTTGTTTTCTGTTCTCATGATGATTTGCATTTTTTGTCAGTTATCATATCTTTGATACACTTCTCTGTTTACGTTCAGCCAACAAATTTTCACAAGCCATAGATCTGTACAGTCAAGCTATTGAACTGAATGGCAGCAATGCTGTATATTGGGCAAATCGTGCATTTGCACATACCAAACTTGAAGAATATGGCAGTGCTGTGCAAGATGCCACAAAGGCCATTGAAATTGACCCTAGATACTCTAAGGTGAGAAAGTTTAATAATTGTGTTCCTGTTTTTGTGTTGAATTATTCTTGGTTGTTGTCATTCTGATTTCCTTTGGCAGGGTTACTATAGGCGTGGTGCAGCGTATCTTGCTATGGGAAAATTCAAGGAAGCTTTGAAAGATTTTCAACAGGCACATTCCTTATCTGAAACTTCCTCAGTATAAGTCAAAGACATCACACACGCTTGTGACACTGATAAAGTTGAATGATGTCATAGTTTTTTGTCTGAAATTGCATGATTAACCTTTTTCTTTTTGAAAATTTTCACTGCTTAATTTTCTTCTAACATCTAAATTAGGTTCAAGTGTGCAACCTTTGTTCAATGATCATCTAGCTGCATCTGCTCTGGTTTTTCTCATTGTTATTCATGCGATAAATCTTGGTTATGCTTTCCTTCCATGGTCAGAATTGCTTGATTTTACTGATTGCATTGTGACACAAAACAACTCCTGTTGTGCGGTTGCACAATTTTCTTGACATATGTTTGCATTATTAGGTGAAAAAAATTTGTCCAAACGATCCTGATGCTACTAAGAAGTTGAAGGAATGTGAAAAGGCTGTTCAGAAACTTCGTTTTGAAGAAGCCATTGCAGTACATGAATCAGAAAAGCGCTCAATTGCAGATTCTATAGATTTTCACACCATAGGTAAATTTTCACAACTAAAATGAATTTTCTTGCTTGCCCTTTATCTGCTTTTTATATTCTTGTTTGCGTTTCTTCTTACTGTATATTTTTAGCAATTTCCTGTCCTTCAACTGTTGTTTGGTAAAGAAAGATTTTGTTTGATATATTCATATAATGTTTTGGGTCTCTTATGACATTTATTACCTTTATACTATGATGATTGTCAATTAACAATTTTTTGATGAAATTGTGTATGCTTTATTACTTCACAAATATGCTTGTAAAATCTTTGGTGAAACTTTATTAAGTTACATTGAAACAAGAATTTCTTCGTAGTATTAGTGAACAGTAGCAAGCTCACAAAGAGAAAAAATTGCATTCTCAAACAAGGTTAATATTTATCAATTTTTGTTTTGTGGTTATGATTTATATTAATGATTTTTGGCTGAGATACAAGCACTTCTAAGCAGTGATTTCAAAAGGCGCTCAGGTGCTCGTTGAAGCGCTCAGGCAAGGCGAGGCCTGGGCGCCTAATTTAATGTCCAGGCAGCGCGCTTCAAAGAGGCGCTTCTTGGGTGCTCGCCTGAGCCCAAGCGTTGGGCGCTCGGGCGAGCGTCGGGTTTAAACCAGGCAACTGAACGAGCTTTTTAGGGCTAGTTTGGTTGCATTTACGTTAGTTGGTTCATAGCCTCCCCCTCGCGACATCCCTCAACCCCAACCCTACTCG